CAGAGGGAGAAGCAGACTCCCTGCCGAGCAGGGAGCCTGATGTGGGACTCAACTGAGTCACCCAGGTGCCACAAGTGCCCTCCTTAATACCCAACAGTGTATTAAAAATAAAACACCTTGACCAAATTAGGTTCATCCCAGTATGTAAGGGCAGATTGTTTGTAAAACAAATACAAAAACAAAAAACCCCCAGAAACTATAAATGTTCCTTATTACAATAATTTTAAAAAGAAAAAAATATATAATTACCTCAATAGATACAGATAAAACATGTGCTAAAATTCAGCATGAACACATGATTAAAAGCTTTAGTAAATTAGGAATAGAAGAGAACTTCCATACCCTAATAAAGTGTATTTGAAAAAAAACTTACAGGAAGTGAGAGAATAATGAACACAGAGTTCAGAATGGGTAAATGGAGAGAGGGGGATGAGGTGGGAAAGAACCACATATATATACATGAATGATTGTCAAAGTCCTTTTTTTTTTTTTTTAGAGAGAAAGAGCACACGCGTGACTTGCAGGGTGGGTAGGGGCAGAGGAAGGAAGAGAAAGAATCTTAAGCAGGCTCCATGCCCAGTAGAGATCATGACCTGAGCTATAATCAAGAATCAGACGCTTAACCAACTGAGCCACCAAGGTGCCCCGAGGTCCTAATTTTTATATTGAGTATGGGCTCCCGTGGATTCTTATTCTATTACTAAAACCAACTGAACAAACAAATTCATGGACCAGTGATGAGATTATGTCATAACCAGTGAGTCTCAAAGGGTAGTTCCTGCAGATCTGCATTACCTAGAAACTTGTAACACATGCAAATACTCCAGCCCCACCCCAGACCTACTGAGTCAGAGACTTTGGGGGTTGGGCCCAGCAACATGTGTTTTAATATGTCCTCTAGGTGATTCTGATGCATGCTAAAGACTGAGCAGAGTGATCATAAATCATGAATTCTAGAGTCTTTACACCTATAGTCCAATTAACAAAAAGGAAGCAAGCACAGCTGGTGGATGCTGTGTATTTGTTTCAGGGGGATAACCATTGCACTTTCTCATTTAATTGAGCTTTAAATCAGATTAGAGAGGACTTGAACGTGACTCCCTTTCTTCCTGATGCTCTGGTAATAAATCTAAAAGGGAAAAAATGAGGCCTATCACACTATTAAAACCAGCAGTAATTCCTAACACTAGAAACTTGCTACCCCTCAATGTAGTGTCAGATTTTATTATGTAGATCTAAAGTCAGAACCACTTTTAGGAAGTAGCGTGTCTTCTGCAAATGGGGAGAAGAGCCTCCAACAGATTTTCCTACGGTTTGAAATGAGGGGAAAAAACATTGGTTCAACATAGCACTGGCAACTTTCAGAAGATAAAAATCTGGAGAGGAGAAAAGATGTAGAGTTATGTGTTGAGAACTACTGGACATTGCAGTTTTGGAGATGTAGTATTGCACTGCGAGAAAGCCCCACTAACAGCATCTTGTCTACGAATAAGCATCATACCTTATGAACTTCTGCCAACTCATGGTCCATCCTTGCTGCCCTCTTGAGAAAACCAGCTTTCGTGGTAGCGACTTTTGGCTTTGGAGGTCTAATTCGGGGTTGTGTCACAAAATCTGGGAGACATGACTCAAGTTCAACTAATCCTACAGGAAGGAAGTACATGCTTTTAATATTCAGTGATTAAATTTAATGCTTTGAAGGCATATTGTTAATTTTAGTAGCTGTTTGCCAAGTGGTTTCATTTAGAATTATTGATAAGATATAGTTCACATAATTGACATGGCCCCAACATGTAAAGCAAATTTCTGCATAATTAACTCATATTCTCAGTAATTTAGACCATAAAATGAGAAATGCATTCTTTTTTTTTAAAGATTTTATTTATTTATCTGAGAGAGAGAGAGAAAGAGAGCACACAAGCAGGGGAAGGGGCAGAGGGAGAAGCAGACTCCCCACGGAGCAGGGAGTCCAATGCAGGGCTCGATCCCAGAACCCTGGGATCATGACCTGAGCTGAAGGCAGACGCTTAACTGACTGAGCTACCCGGGCACCCCAAGAAATGCATTCTAATTAAATATTTCCCTACAGAAAAGTAATAAGTTCTATGATAATAACCAACAGAAAATTGGTGATCATATGATACATGGGACCACCATTCTGTAGTGGATATACACCAATTTATCATACTGTGCTCTGGAGATGATCAGCCAGAGCTACAAGTTCAACATTGTGACCATCAATTCATCATCTTGGCCATGAATCCATGAATCCATAAATTTATCCCCTAGTTATCCATTTTCTTGCCCACTAGTTTTCTAGCACTTCTTCTTAAAGACTGATTTCATGATATATTCCTTGTTTACTTTGTAAACATGGTATAAAAGTTTATTCGTTTCATTTTTGTGAAATGAGAAATTATTAGTGACACTGAACATGTTTAAAGGTTTAGTAGCTAAACACTGCTATATTGTTATACAGTATATCCATTTACTTATTTTTTTAAGATTTTATTTATTTATTTGAGAGAGAGTGAGAGACAGAGACAGCGAGAGAGAGCACGAGTGGGGAGGAGAGGGAGAAGCAGGCTCCCTGCTGAGCGAGGAGCCCAATGCAGGGCTTGATCCCAGGACCCTGGGATCATGACCTGGGCCAAAGGCAGCAGCTTAACCAACTGAGCCACCCAGGTGCCCCAGTATATCCATTTATTTACTTGGGTCTTAGGAGTTTTTATTGATTTGTATGAACTTGTATTAATAACATTAAATGTATTCATTGCTATTTCTTGAAAATATTATTTGCTGTTTAGCCTTTAATCTAATACTTCCCTTCTAGTACTTCAATACTCCTCTTATACTGGACTTGTAATTCTGTAAATTGCTTACCTTCATAGGTGTTGAGATAGTGGTTTTTTACCACAAAGTCCTCTGAATTGTTGTCAGGGAAACGACCAAGACGAGACAGAGGTCCATAGACCTGTGATGCATAATCACAATAATCCCTGATGATATTCCTTCTCTCCAGCTTCCCTTCTATATTCTTTCCCTTTCCCACAAGTTTTCTGATTGCTAGAATAAAACATACCTCTTTGACTATCTTCAAAGTATTGTTCTGAATAAATGCATAATAATAAACCAGTTCTACTTTTATTCACAGGGAAGCTACTGAACTGAATGAATTTCATGATGACCACTCACTGCAGCCAGGTCTGTCATCTGTGTGGCCCAGAGCATCATGAGACAAGTGGGAGTGACAGAAGCTGAGTCAATTAGCATCCTCAGTTGGTACTCATCAAAAATCTTTTATAAGTGCATTCCAAGCTCTGAGGCAAGAAAGGGTATTCAGTAAGTTTGTCAAGCTAATGAAAGAAATTCAAAGTAACCAAAAAAAGACATGGTCAGTGGAGATTTGGAGAATTATTTTCTCCTAGGAAAATAATTGCAAGGGAGGGAAGACTACAGGTTCTTCAATAATCTCTTTCCATCTTGGCTAACAACAGAATAAAACATAATGTATCCCAGCTTAGAGCTTTCAGAACTGTTTGGCCGACAGAGGGAAAAGGCTCAGCTGTGCACTCTAAGGAGTCATGCTTCCTACCTCCGCCTGCTCCTTTTCTTTCAGTCCTATCACAGATCCACCCCGTTCGAGGGCTCCACGCTGTGCACTCTCAATGGGTGAAAATCATACTGTGGGATGGCAAAGTCTTATCGTAAGAGGCGGCTGCATGCACCACAGCTGCCTTGTGGGCATTTATGTTTGATTCTCCATGCTTTTGTGTGTGACTTGGGGTTTTGGAATTAAATAAAAATAGTTTTATTTTTATTTAATTTTGTTATTTATCTTTTTTTTATTAGTTTCAGAGGTAAAATTTAGTGATTCATCAGTTGCATATAACACCAGTGCTCATTACCTCAGGTGCCCTCCTTTAACCCCCTCCCCTCTAGCAACCCTCAGTTTGTTAGCTACAAAAGTTAGTCAGCTCATCATTAGTTATATCAAGTATGGAAATGAAAAAAATGTTGACAATATCTAACTGCATATCTCACAGCTATTTAAATGTTATTTTCTCACACACAAAAACGTTCAGGGGCAAAAAAGTGAAAGCAGATAACAGGCACCCAACTTATTGGGGGGGGTCTTGAAGGCCTCCCTGAGGAAGTGACATTTGAGGTCGTCTTAGCCTGGTTCCCCCAAAGGCAGAGCCTGAGACAAAGGCATGTGTCAGGTAGTTTATTTGGAAGGCTACTGATCCCAGAGGGCTGGAGAGAGGGACAGGAGGAATTAATAAAAAAAAGTAATAATAATAAAATAAAATAAAATAAGCAAGCTAGTCAACCCATCATTAGTATTGTGAAGTATTGAAAAGAAATTGTTGACAATATCTAAAGTTCTAGGCATACCTAGCATCTAGTTAAAAGTTATTTTCTCACATCAAGAAAACGTTAAAAGTTAAGTTCACTGATAATAATTTTAAGGAAGTTTTATAATTGTTCTACTTTTGCTAGAAAAATAACAAATTTGATTTTCTTAAATATTGTGATTATTCTAATATGCATAGAAATTGCTAATTTGCATATCATTGATACATTACAATTTTATAAGTAAATTACATTAAAAGTTACTAAGCAAATAAAACTATAAAGTTAAATACTAATAAGTTAAAAGTTTTTAATTTAATTTTTATTCATTTTTATTATTTTTTTTTTTGAGAGGGAGAGAGATAGAGGTGGGTGGCGGCAAGGGGCAGAGGGAGAGGGTGAGAGAGAAGCCTAAGTAGGCTCCACACCCACTGAGGAGCCCAACGTGGGGGCTTGATCTCACGACCCTGAGATCATGACCTGAGCCGAAATCAAGAGTCAGACACTTAACCAACTGAGCCATGCAGATGCCCCTTTTTTAATTTTAATTCAAAAATTTTATATAGTCATTCCTAATCATCCACTGACTGCTCTTTTTATGTGTACAGATAGAGTACATAAACAGATAAACAGTATATCCATGGTATTAAAATTTCATGGAAGAGGGTGAGCAGGAGAAAAGATGTCTAAATGTCTCATTTAAGAGCAATAACAACAAAAAAAAAAAGGTTGAGAAATAGGGCTTTCCATCCAGGACTTCAACCTATGAATATGGGAAGCCCAACCCCTTACACTTACCCCACCCCACACACAAACATACACAATAATATCACAATAATCACAATAATGTCAATAACTTGACTACCTGTTAGAACATCATTACTTGGCTTTCTTAGTGAGGAATTTTCTTCCACTCTTCTACTTTTGAGAAATAATTCATCTCCTTTACTTATTTAATAACACTAGGACTCAAGAGAATTATATCTAAATCAGGTTTGATCAAAGATTCAAAGCAAAGCCAACCCTCCCATTCTCTTCACTGTTCATATTACACCATTACCTGATACATGTGTGTGCTGAATCCGTGCCAATTTTGCCTCCTTTGCTTCCTGCAATTGACACCATCGGGCATTCAGGTGCTTCATGTTCACTTCGTTTTGATTCTCATCACGCTTTCTCAGCAGCTTTTTTAGAATTTCCAGGCGAATCTCCTGCAGTCTTTAAGTAAATCACCAAACATAAAGACCTATTTGGTATCCCAGAGTGTTCTACTAGAGAGAAGGGAAACACCTGCCATAAACAGGATCCTCTTTTTGGGCTGGTATCATATTCATGTACTTAAAAAGACTGCTCTGGCAAAAGTGTGACAAGTGGATTGGGTGTTTGGGGGACGCAACTCAATAGTGAGTCTCTCTATAAAAGGAATATGTATGGGCATATTTCTGAAAGGCAAAGAAGAGTATGCCAGGTAAATAAAAGGGCTCTCCAGGCAGATGGGCCTAAATGAACAACAAGATGTTTGTGCACGGTTCCAGGCCCACAGGTATGGGATGGGGAGTTAAGTAATATGAGTGAAGAGAAAATGAGGCAGCATGATATTTTAAGGAATAAATGTGAAAATGCCAGTGTCTGGCGCATACAGACATCCAATCAATCTTCGTTTCCCTTCCGCTTAGCTTTAGCTTGTTCTCCTAGAGCTAGCTACCTTGCTCATGTGTATACAACAATGTACACATGACTTCAAAACCTGTACCTCCGGCCCAGGTATTTCTGAACCAGAATTCCTGTCTACTTGAATTTCCAGGTATCCCTTGACAACTTCAAGAAAAAACCCCACTCATTTTGTTCCCCCAGAAATCTACCCTTTCTTACATCTTCTTCCTTCCCCTAACAATTCCTCCTCTAAAACACTTCTTGCATCCATTCCCTAGCTCATGTTTTTATCATCCCTCTCCTAACTTGGACTCTAGTTGCTAATCTACTCTCTCCTTCCAATCTTGCTCCACACAGCTGTCAAGATTTTCCTTCCTAAAATAGACATTTGAACATTTTAATCTTACTTAAAAATTCATAGAGTAATTTATTCAGCTACTTATTTGTCAAATATTTATTAAGTGCTCACCAAATGCCAGGCAGGAAACAAACAATGATGAACAAGATAAAACGCCTTCTCTCAAGAAGCACTGTTCTATTGGAGCAGGCATATCAACTAGCATTTTATAAGGAGATAAATACCAGGCCAGAAGAATGAAGACTGTGGGAGAAGAAATGACAGAGCATCTATGTCTAGCACTATTCCCAGTGGATCCAGGAAGGTGGGGAGGGCTTCTTTACAGGAGCCATTAACTCTGTAGTCTTGAGGATAAACAAGGATTGAGATTTGCCACATAGACAAGGGAAAAGTGAGGCCTCAGCAGAGGAAAGTTCAACTCAAAGGACTAGAGACAGAGCTAACATGTCATACTGGTGGAGCTTCTCAAAGCAAACATACCGGGGAAGGTGGGGAAGTAGTGAAAAGTGAATATGGAGAAACAGGTGTTTTTAAAAATAAGCCACAAACCAATAGTCACCTTTCTCTCTGGACTTAGAAATCCTAAGTTCATTCTCAAATTCATCACTTACCTCAATTCCTTCAGTCATAAAATGGACATAATCATATCTGTCCCATAAGGTTGTTGTGAGCATTAGATGAGTTAATGTATACAACATGGTACAACAGTTGAGCATGCATCAGATAATCTGGAGTCGACCACCTGACTCAGTAGGTCTGGGATGGTGCCCGAAAATCTGGATTTCTAACAAATTCCCAGGTAATGCTGATGCTGCTGGTTTGTGGACCACAATTTGAGAACTAGTGGCTTGGAACATGGCTCCAACACATAGTAAGCACTCTGCAACTTAACATGCTCTGTGAATATCATCATCATCATCACTAATATTATCTACCTGATGGCTTCTTACTAACCCTTCAACACCCAGCTCAGAGGCTACCTTCTCACAATAATTTTCCCAAATCTCCACCCACCCCAAACAGAACGAGCCAGGAACATTTTAAATGTTTTTAATGCCCTTCTGATAAGAATATATCTCTCCAAATTGCAGCAATAAATTTAATTTTCTACAGACGGGATTGGGCACCCGATACCTACTTTGCATTCTTTAATTGCAAGCTTTTACCAAAACATCACACAGTCTGGATTCAGGGTTAATAGAAGGCGTTGTAAAAAGATAAACATATCTTGAATTCAGAACCACGCTGAGTCTCTAATTGTCTTGGTTCTTAACTCTCTTTTGTGTAAGCACACTGTCAGGGGCCGTGGTGGCATTGCGATGAGCAGGGAAGTGCCTCAGCTCAACCTAGGACAAAGGACAACCTCATCAAGTTCCCTTCCTTCCTTCCTTTTTTTTTTTAAGATTTTATTTATTTATTCGACAGAGAGAGACACAGCGAGAGAGGGAACACAAGCAGGGGGAGTGGGAGAGGGAGAGGGAGAAGCAGGCTTCCCACCGAGCAGGGAGCCCGATGCAGGGCTCGATCCCAGGACCCTGGGATCATGACCTGAGCCGAAGGCAGACGCCCAACGACTGAGCCACCCAGGCGCCCCTTTCCTTTCTTTACTGCTAGGGAGTTGTAATTGTGAGGTTTTCATCCTTTCCACACATTCCAAGGACAGCCTCATTACTGAAAATACATTAGTTAAATGACTGAAAACCAGAAGTACCTCAGCATATTGTTATTTATGCACCGTGAGCTCATCTCTTAATTGAGGAATTCCACAATTTGTCTTTTAAATAGAAAATGCCCCATTAGCTGTAGCTAGAAGCCAAGGTGTCCTGACTGTGAATCCAATACCGGGAGGAATAAGAGGATTAGCTAGGAGGCTGATGGATATGAAGAGGGCCTAGGCCCAGGCAGAGTGGCCCTGGGAATGAACAGAAAGGGTCAGTTTGAAAGACTGATGAATGGATAAAGAAGATATGGCATACACACACACACATAGGAATGTTACTCAGCCATGAAAAAATAATGAAATGTTGCCATTTGTAACAAAGTGGATGGAGCTAAAGTATATTATGTTGAGTGAAATAAGTCAGTCAGAGAAAGGCAAATACCATATTATTTCACTCATATGTAGATTTTAAGAAACAAAACAGATGAACATATGGAAAGGGGAAGAAAAAGGAGAGAGGGAAGCAAACCATAAGAGACTCTTACCAATGGAGAACAAACTGAGGGTTGATGCAGGGAGGTGGGAAGGGGATGGGCTAGATGGGTGATGGGGATTAAGGAGGACGCTTGTTGTGATGAGCACTGGGTATTCTATATAAGTGATGAACCACTAAATTCTAATCCTGAAACCAATATTGCAGTGTATGTTAATGAACTATACTTTAAAAATTTAAAAAGAAAGACATTTCAGGGGTGCCTGGGTAGCTTAGTCAGTTAAGCGTCTGCCTTTAGCTCAGGTCATGATCCCAGAGTCCTGGGATCAAGCCCCACATCGGGCTCCCTGCTCAGCGGGGAGCCTACTTCTCCCTCTCCCTCTGCAGTTCCCTCTGCTTGTGCTTGCTCTCTCTGTCAAATAAATTTTAAAATTCTTAAAAAAAAAAAGGCATTTCAGTGGGATTCTATGATAGTCTAGAATTTCTCTAAAGAGAAAAAGGAAGGGGCGCCTGGGTGGCTCAGTCGTTAAGTGTCTGCCTTCGGCTCAGGTCATGGTCCCAGGGTCCTGGGATCGAGCCCCGCATCGGGCTCCCTGCTCCGTGGGAAGCCTGCTTCTCCCTCTCCCACTCCCACTGCTTGTGTTCCCTCTCTCGCTGTATCTCTCTCTGTCAAATAAATAAAATCTTTAAAGAGAAAAAGGAAGAGAAGAATCACAGATGTTTTGAGGAATTCTTCAAATCTGGGTTCCATGCTTAACTTTACACACAAGGAGGGCATTATACATTTTTATATTGTTAGAGAGAAAATTATAGAGCTATTATTCCCAAAAGAACCAGAAACCCAACTTTCTATCTCTATAGGTAGAAGGTTGCTTTTAAACCCATACATTTGAGAAAACGCTTTACAGATAAAAAGTATTTACATTACTCCACCAGCACAGGTGCAACTGTCTGGGTAATCTAGAACTTACTTTTCAATCTCCTGCTCTCTGAAGGCCCACTCCTTCCTCTCCATCGCATTCATCATCCTCCTCCTCTTCTCAAACTGGGAGGTGTCACTCAGACAGGGAAGAGTGGCTTCCCAAGCACGCTTCTCCCGGGCACGTTCTATCATCTCAACCTCAGCTTGTCCTGCTGGGAGCCCTCGACCTGGATGATGAAGCAAAGCACTTTAGAAACATATGGACAAACTCATGTACCTTTCAGTATTTAGTTTATTCCCTTTCAGTTCCTGTCCTCTTGAACTTCAAGGGTTATGACAAGACGAAATGATATTAGCAAACATCCTCCTGATGTGCCTCACAGCTTGTTATCTGTGCCCTGTACTATCTCTTGTTAGGTATTTAGCCAGAAGACATTTTAGTTGCACATAAGATGCTAGACAGTATTTGAAGAATATCACGTGACTACTGAATAATCATACCTTGGAATGTCCTATATTAGACAAATCAATATTTTGAAATGCAAGGAAATATCAAAGTAACTTACAGAAGGTCACAGCTGGTAAGTGGTAGAAATCAGGATTTGAACATTGCAATCTGACACTTGTGGTCTTATTACTACTCCTATACTCCCTCTCTATTAGAAAAATGAAACAAAAATGAACTATATAGACAAGCCCACAGCTAACATCATACTCAACAGTGAGGTTGAAAGCTTTCCCCCTAAGATCAGGAACAAAACAAGAGCCTACTCTTATCACTCCTATTCAACATAGTACTAGAAGTCCTACCCAGAGCAATCAGGCAAAGAAGAAATAAAAGTCAACCAATTGAAAAGGAAGAGGTAAAATGGTTTCTGTTTGCAGATAACATGATCTTATATATAGAAAACTATAAAGACTATCAAAAATGGTTAGAACTAACAAATGAATTCAATAAAGTTGCAGGGTATAAAATCAACATACAAAAATCAGTTGCGTTTTTATATATTAACAATGAACTACCTAAAAAACAAAGAAAATAATCCCATTTATAATTGAATCAAAAATAATAAAATAGGGGGGCACCTGGATGGCTCAGTCAGTTAAGCATCTGCCTTCGGCTCAGGTCATGATTCCAGGGTTCTGGGATCAAGCCCCTCCTTGGGCTCCTTACTCAGTGGAGAGTCTGCTTCTCCCTCTCCTTCTACCCCTCCCCACCCGGCTCGTACTCTCTCTCTCTCTCTCAAATAAATTTAAAAAATCTTAAAATAATAATAGGAATAAATTTAACCAAGGAGGTAAAAGATCTATACACTAAAAACTATAAAATACTGATGAAAGAAATTGAAGATGACAAAAGTAAATGGAAAAATATCCCATGTTCATGGATTGGAAGAATTAATTTGTTAAAATATACATACTACACAAGGTCATCCACAGATTCAACATAATCTCTAGTAAGATCCCAGTGACATTTTTTACAGAAATAGAAAAAACAATTGTAAAATTCATATGGCACCATAAAAAAAAAAAACCCAAAGAGCCAAAGAAACTTGAGAAAGAAGAACAAAGCTGAAGGTATCATACTTCCTGGTTTCAAACTATATTACAAAGCTACAGTCATCAAAACAAAATAGTATTGACATAAAAACAAAAGCATAGACCAATGAAACAGATTCAAGAGCCCAGAAATAAACCCAAATATCATCAACTAATATTTGACAAGGGAGCCAAGAAAACTCAGTGGGAAACATACTTTCTTCCATAAGTGGGGCTGGGAAAATTGGATATTGGCATGTAGAAGAGTGAAACTGAGTCCCTAACTTACACCAATCATAAAAATTACCTTGAAATGGATTAAATACTTAAATGTAAAACTCCTAGAAGAAAACATAGGGGAAAATCTTCTTGATATTGGTTTTGGCAATGATTTTTTGTATATGGCACCAAAAGCACAAACAACAAAGCAAAAATAAATCAAATGGGACATCAAACTAAAAAGCTTCTGCACAGCAAAAGAAATGAGCAACAAAATGAAATGGCAACCTATGGAGTGGAAGAAAATATTTTCAAACCATACATCTGATAAGGGGTTAATATCCTAAATATATTAGGAACTCCTACAAATCAATAGCAAAAAACAAAATAATGCAATTAAAAAATGGACAAAGGACCTGAATAGACATTTTTCCAAAGAAGATATACAAATGGCCAGCAGGTACATGGAAGGTACCCAACATCACTAATTATCAGAGAACTACAAAAGAAAAACACAATGAGATATTACTTCACACCTGTTAGGATACGTGTTTTCAAAAAGACAAGAGATAACAAATGCTGACAAAGATATAGAAAAAAGGGAACTCTAGTACACTGTTCGCAGGAATGTAATTGCTACAGCCACTATGAAAAATAGTATGGAGGTTCCTCAAAAAATTAAAAATAGAGGTACCATATGATTCAGCAATTCCACTTCTGGGAATATATCTGAAGGATATGAAATTACTATCTCAAAGAGGTATCTGTACCCCCCATGTTCACTGCAGCATTATTTACAGTAGCTAAGACATGGAAACAACTTAAGTGTTCATCAACACATGAATGTGTAAAAAAAATGATATAAATGTATATAATTCCTATATAACATATTAAATATAATTGACATATATTGACTATAATATGTGATAAATTTTATTTTATATGCAATATAAAATATATAAAATTCAGCCATACAAAAAAGAAATCCTGCCATTTGTGACAACATGAATGAAACTTGAGGGCATTATGCTAAGTAAAATAAGTCAGACAAAAAGACAAATACTGTATGATCTCACGTATGTCTGGAATCTAAAAAAACTGAATTCATAGAAACAGAGAGTAGACTGATGGTTGCCAGGGGCAAGGGGTGGGAAAAATGGGTGAAAGTGGTCAAAGGATACAAATTTTCAGTTATATGATGAATAAGTTCTGGATATTTAATATACAGCATAATGACTATAGTTAACAATACTGTATTGTGTACTTGAAAGTTGACAAGAGAGTAGATCTTAAGTGTTCTCACCACACATACCAAAAAAATGGTACTATGTGAGGTGATGGGTCTGTTAATTAATATTATTGTGGTAATCATTTTGCAAAATATATGTATATAAAATAATCACATGGTATGCCTTAAACTTACATAGTATGTCTATTATATCTCAATAAAGCTGGGAAAAAATGAACTATACATAAGTAAAAATATAACATTGTCTTTGATTTTTACATACATGAGATTTTACTATAAGTATTCTGCAACTTGCTTTTTTACTCAAGTTTGTTTTGGGGACACTAGTCACACTGATACGCAGAGATCTAATTTCATTCTTCCATTGTAGGACTCTAACACAATTTAAGCTATCTTCTAAAAATTGATGTTTTAGATTGCTTCAATTTTTTGATTACACATAGTAATGCTGCAACAAACATCCTTGTACTGGTCTCATGCCATATGCGAATTTCTCTAGCATCCTTAGAAGGATCTAAAGTCTAGCAGCTAGATCATAAAATATAATCACTTTAAATTTTTCTGGATATTGCCAAACTTGCCTCCCAAAGGTATAATTTTGCTCAAGCCTTCTGAGATTCCCCTGATGCTCTCCCATAGCCCATGCTTCCTTACTTCCTCCCACATTGTTTCTGCCTAATCTCAGTTGCTTTTTGTAGTCCTAACAAATACTTAGTAGTAGTTCACAGATTTTTTTTTTTTTTTTTTTTAGTTTCACTGAAAGTGTAATTTGTGGGAGTTGTTTTGTGCTTGTTGCTTTTGTGTGATTTCTGGGAAGAGAAGAGGAAAGATACTGATTTACATAGACACAGTTATACTGGGAATAGGGATTTGGATTAGAATTGCTTGAAGGTATAAAATGTTTAGGGGAGAAATAATATCTATTCAAGCAGGAGTCTTCCCATTTATAAACATGGTATGCTTCTCTCTCTCTCTCTCTTTTTTAAGATTTTATTTATTTGAAAGAGACAGAGAGAATGAGCAGGGAGGAGGGGCAGATGAGAGAGAGAGAAAAGCAGACTCCCCGCTGAGCAAGAAGCCCAATGTAGGGTTCGATCCCAGGAACCTGAGATCATGACCCAAGCCTAAGGCAGATGCTTAACCTACTGAGCCACCCAGGCCTCCCATATGCTTCTCTTTTTATCAAATCTTTGTTCACATGCTTAAGGAACACTATATTTTTCTCCATAATTCTGTGCACATGTTTTTAAGTGACTTTCTTAGGTTATTTGTTGCTTTAAGAATATGATATTTTCAGGGACACCTGGGTGGCTCAGTCGGTTAAATGTCTGCCTTCGGCTCAGGTCATGATCCCAGGGTCCTGGGATCAGGTCCTGCATTGTGCTCCTTGCTCAGCAGGGAGCCTGCTTCTCCCTCTGCCTGCCGTTCCCCCTGCTTGTACTCTCTCTCTCTCTCTCTGTCTCTCTCTCTCTCTGACAAATGAATAAATAAAATCTTAAAAAAAGGAATATGATATTTTCAAATATTTCTAATCATATATTGCTCATATAGGAAAGCTACTGATCTTTGCATGTCATTTCCACAATCACCTATCTTGAACTCAGGTTCTTAGTTCTGATAATTTGTAATTTCATTTGATTTTCTAAATGAATAAATTGTCTGCAAATATAGTTTTGCTTCTTATTTCTAATCCTCATACCTCAAATTTTTTCTCTTACTGCACTGAGTCAGCATTTCTCAACCAAAGTGATAACACTGCCATACTGAGCAAACAATTATTTCTTGTATAGGACTGCTGAATGCAGGACAGGACATTTAGTAACCATGCCAGCCTACCTCCCAAACCCCACCCCATGTGCTAAATGCCAGGAGCACTTCCTAGAGCAAGGACTTGTGGGGAGATGGCAGAGTAGGAAGATCCTAGGCTCACCTCATCCCATAGATGCAACTAGATATATCCCTATCAGTGTAAATAACCAGAAAAAAAACAAAGACTGGCAGAAGGGACTCTCCACACCAATATGTTGAAAAGAGACCACCCTGAGGAGGGCAAAGACATGGTGGGAGCTAAATGGACCTGCAGGACTGTCCACAAAAGGGAAGAATGCAGTGAGTGCAAAGAGGAACAGAACCCATACCAAGCACCCCAGGCACAGGGGACAGGCACCTGAAAAAGGAATCTCCATAACATTTGGCTTTGAAAGGCAGAGGGGTCTGGCT